ACAATACATTTAACTTCACAATGATTCTATGGCAGCTGCATGGTAACTTTGGTGGAAGAGATTCCTTATGGGGCCAGGCTTTGTACTGCAGGTTAAACTGCTAAGCTGCAGAAAATCCTAGGTTGGTAATTCGAGCCCTGGTTGGAGTGAGCTCCCACCCTCAGCCCCAGCTTCTGCTCAACTAGCAGATCAAAAACAGCAATATGAGTAGATAAATAGGTGCCACTTTAAAAGTGGGGAGGTAATAAAAGGCACCCGTAAGGACATGCTGACAATTTGATTGGGAGGACGTCTATGGATGACAAGGCTCCTTGGCATGAAAAATTGAGTGACAGCACACACACACACACACACACACACACACACACACACACACACACACGGCTGGAGTCAAGCACAGCCAGATGTCGGAAATGGAAAAAGATGGGAAAGCCTTTACATCTGTTTATATAGTCTGTTCTTGTTAATTGTATAACAGCATTGAATGTTTGCCATATATGTGTTCTGTAATCCACCCTGAGTCCCCTTGGGGAAATAGAGCAGAATATAAATAAAGTATACTATTATTATTTCAATCAGGTTCAATATTATCCACGATTTTAATTTTCCACAGTATAGTACATTTTGGAAACTATCCTCCGCAGATAAGGGAATCATATGGTATAGTGCAAACACAAAAAAGTAATCAAAGTACATAACCATTATCCATCTCCTCATCTCATTTGTAATCGGAACTATTCAAGCGAATTGGCAACAGAGGAAAATTCCTTACCCAGACTGGACCTACACTGCTCTACATCCCAGGGTCTGATCTCAGATTATTTTCTTATCCCTGATTTTCTGGCACTGTAGACTCATATAATCTAGTTCAAATCAGATAATCTGGGATCAGGTCCTGGGATATAGAGCAGGACCAGTCTGCTCTCATATCTTTACTTATTCTCAAACTGGCAAGCCAATGCAAAAGAGAGAGAGAGAGAGAGCAATACAAATTAACCCTCTACCCTGGACATCTGTTAATATGTGGCCATGGTGCTGACAAGGACCTTAAAACGCATCTGGCTTGGAAGAGAGACCTTATACACTATAGTCAATATCCATGTTACATCATACAATGGTATCCAGTGTGGTTTTATTTCACCTCAAAAATGCCAGAGCCTAAGGATCTGTGAAATGGTCCAAGGCTACTGCAAGGTACGACTAAACATCAGGTGTAGAGCCAATTGGTGTACAGCCAATTAAAGTTTGGTTTTTTGACTTCTTTCTCCAAAATATTTTCAAGCCATTGGTTGAATCTGTGGGTAGCGAACCCATGGATGTGGAGGGTCGAGTGTACTTGCACATTTCCCCTTTATGGCATTAGCTTATAGAGCCACATAAGAATAATTAAATGTCCATTCCACCTTCTGTTTCTTACTGATTAAACTTGCTTGGATTAATTTATGACAGATGTAACAGCACCAATTTACAGAGATTTCAAAATACAGCTGCTACCTTATGAACCATTATTTGCCTTTTTGAACATATTACCTTGGTAGAGCTTAAGGGACTTCGCTGGCAGCTTAGTCTGTTTTCAAGCACAGTTCAAAGTCCTGGTGTTTTCTTTTAAAACTTATTCAGTTTTGAGCCTCAGTACCTGAAGAAAGATTTTGCTCATGTACCAATCATGTGTTGAGGCTGTCTTTGAAGGGCTTCCTGGCATTTGAGATAAGAAAGGTGGAAACCAGAGAGGGGGCTTTTTCACTTTGTGATTTCCTTTCCTCCTATCCATTCATTGAATTTCTTCCCTGAGATGTGTGCATGGTGGCAGTACTTTTTGTGCCAGGCAAAGTTATTCCTGTTTTTAAATGCTGGGATTTATCACAATTAATCTCGATTTAGTTATCTCCTTAGAAGCATTGCTGAAGAACAGTGTATAGATTTTTTAAACAAGCAAATAAGTAGCACAACCCCAGGAACTAGAGAGTGCTTTTATGACTTATGTTCATTGTGAACTAATTCCTACTCAAGAGTGTTATATTTACAATCGGCCCTCTGTATCCACACATTCTTTATCCAGGGAGTCAACCTTCCATGGCTTGTAAAAAAAAAAAGGGGGGGGAGCGGGGAGCAAACAGTGGAAATGAAAAGCACAGATTTTTGGTGGAGAAATACAGGTGTGTGAAATAAAATGTAACCCTGGAACCAAACTCCAGCACATACATATTTGAAAACAAGGATTAATTATAATAGTAATAATAATACTTTATTTACATTCTGCTCTATCTCCCTGGAGGGACTCACAGTGGATTACAATATACAGATAGGAAAACATACAATTGAATAATCCCCACCGCCCACCCCCGAGGGATACTGAAATGGAAGTTTGTGCCATTCAAATAAACTACCTAGAAATATTAAAGGATTTCTTTCACTCACTTTTCTGGGGAATTTATTGATTGGCCACCACAGTTTGAAACTTGCTTTGAACTGAATTCAATGGTCAGTGTAGATGGGGCCTGTATCATCACTATCCAGGCCTCCAATTGGTTTCAGGATATCCTATGTAATTATTTGTACACTGAAACCACTTTCTTCAATGCTGATTTGAAACTGCGTTAAATGGTCAGTACAGATGGGGCCACAAACCACGGAACAGTGATGCACATTAAGGGCTTTCTTTCACGCGCTTTTGTGGAAGTTTGTTGTATGTCCATTGCAGTGTGAAGCTAGCTTCGGACTACATTAAACCATCAGTGTAATGGTGCTTAATCGGGTATCGGCAAACTTCAGCCCTTCAGGTGTTTAGGATTTTTTCCCTTCAGAACAATAATTTTCCCTCAAGTTCCTTCATGAGGTCTACTGAAGTGAACATGTTGACCTCAGAATAATCCCTCAGAAAAGTAGCCCTTTGAGGGCTATTGAAGTGGCAATTTTTGCCCCCAGAATGCATGTAAAATAAGTTGTTTTTTGAGAAGCTCCTGCTGCTGCCTCTGCCACTCTAATCTTTCTCCCTTGAGCCTCTTAGTGAGGGCCACTAAATGAGACATTTTGTCCTCAGAACAGTAATTTTCCCTCAAGGTTCCTTCCTGAGAGCTACTGAAGAAGGTGTTTTTCCCTAAAACTCCCTGAAATAAAGCACTATTTTCTGAGGAGCTCATCTTGCCCTCTGCACCTTTGCAGATGTTTAGTCCTCAGAAAAATCCCTCAGAAAAGATGCTCTTTGGGGGATATGGAAGTGTAGGTGTTGACCTCAGAAAAGTAGCATGTTGAGGGGTGCGGAAGTAGAGATTTCGCCCTCAGAAAAGATGCTCTTTGGGGGATACGGAAGTGGAGGCTTTGCCCTCAGAAAAGTAGCCCTTTGAGGGATATGGAAATGGAAGTTTCACCCTCAGAAAAGTAGCCTTTTAAGGGATATGGAAGTGGAGGTTTTGCCCTCAGAATAATAGCCCTTTCAGGGGTGAGGAAGTAGAGGTTTTGCCTCAGAAGAGTAGCTCTTTGGGGCATATGGAAGTGGAGCTTTTGCCTCAGAAAAGTAGCCCTTTGGGGGATACGGAAGTGGAAGTTTCACCTCAGAAAACTAATCTTTTAAGGGATACATATATATATATATATGTCTTGTCAGGAGCGACCTGAGAAACTGCAAGTCGCTTCTGGTATGAGATAACTGGCCGTCTGCAAGGAAGTTGCCCAGGGGACACCCGGATGATTTGATGTTTTTATCATCCTTGTGGGAGGCTTCTCTCATGTCCCTGCATGAGGAGCTGGAGCTGATCCGCCTCTCCCCGGATTCGAACCTGCGACCTGTTGGTCTTCAGTCCTTCTGGCACAGGGGTTTAACCCACTGCGCTATCGGGGGCTCTTTTGAGAGATATGGAAATGAGGTTTCGCCCTCAGAAAAGTACCCCTTTGAGGGATACAGAACTTGAGGTTTCGCCCTCAGAAAAGTTGTCCTTTGAAGGGTATGGAAGTGAAGGTTTCACCCTCAGAAAAGTAACCCTTTGGGGGATACAGAATTGCAGGTTTGGCCCTCCGAAAAGTAGCCTTTTGGGGGATATGGAAGTGGAAGTTTCGCCCTCAGAATAGTAGCCCTTTTACGGATATGGAAGTGGAGGTTTCACCCTCAGAAAAGTAGTCCTTTGAAGGATATGGTAGTGAAGGTTTTGCCCTCAGAAAAGTAGCACTTTGAGGGATAAGGAAGTGAAGGTTTCACCCTCAGAAAAGTAGCCCTTTGAGGGATATGGAAGTGAAGATTTCACCCTCAGAAAAGTAGTTCTTTGAGGGATATGGAACTGGAGATTACACCCTCAGAAAAGTAGGATTGAAGTGAAGGTTTCGCCTTCAGAAAAGTAGCCTTTTGGGGGATATGGAAGTGGAAGTTTCGCCCTCAGAATAGTAGCCCTTTTTGGGATACGGAAGTGGAAGTTCCGCCCTCAGAATAGTAGCCCTTTTAGGGATACGGAAGTGGAGGTTTCACCCTCAGAAAAGTAGCCTTGTGAGGGATATGGAACTGGAGATTACACCCTCAGAAAAGTAGCCCTTTGAGGGATATGGAAGTGGAGGTTTCACCCTCAGAATAGTAGCCTCTTGAGCAGGCATGGGTAAACTTCGTCCCTCCGGGTGTTTTGGACTCCAATTTGCACAATTCCTAACAGCCTACCGGCTGTTAGGAATTGTGGGAGTTGGAGTCCAAAACACCCGGAGGACCGAAGTTTGCCCCTGCCTGCTTTTGAGGGATACGAAGTGCAAGTTTCGCCCTCCGAAAAGTAGCCCTTGGAGGGATGCGGAAGCCACTGCGACCCTCCCTGAAGCCCTTGGTGACACTCTGAGGGCGCGTCATTGAGGCACCCGGCGAGGGACGGCTCAGTGTGGTGAGTGCCGCCCGCAAGGCGCTCACAACAACAACATGTCGGCCTGCTGGCTGTGCGCGCTGCTGCCTCCTTAGCGGGCGCCTCCTCCTCCTCCTCCTTTCCTGACAGGACCCGCCCGCGGTGTGCGGCCTGTCCCCTCCTTCCCTCCCTCCCTCCCGAGGGAGCAGCAGGCGGAGGCGCGGCTCCAGCGGGCGCCCGAGCCCGGCCCTCAGCGAGCCTGGCGGCGGCGGCGGCGGCGGCGACTCCCACACCGCAACCCCGCCATGGCTGAGGCTGGCGCGGCCGGGCCGGGGGAGGGCGAGGCGGGGAGCAGCAATGGCGGGGCCGGGGCGCTTCAGCAAGGCTCGCCGGCTTCAGCGGGGACGCCCGCTCGAGCTCCGGCCGCCGCGACTCCTCCTGCGCCCGCCGAGACCAGCCCTGCAGCGGGAGCAGGAGGAGGAAGCAGCAACGGGAGCAGCACGGGCGGGACAGGCAGCGGGGGACCCGGCTCGGCTCGCATCGCGGGCAAGAAGGCGCAGCTCCGCTCCGCACCCCGCGCCAAGAAGCTGGAGAAGTTGGGCGTCTATTCCGCCTGCAAGGTAAGCACCGGCCCCGGAATCATAAGCCCCAAGACCCGGAGCGGGAGAGACGAGCGGCGCGCTTCCCCGTTACAGCCGACAGGGGGCGCCCGCTTGGGTGTCGACGGAGGATTGATTGACAGGAGGAGAGGGCAAGGGAGGGGTCGCGCCTGACTCCTTGGATTAAAAGAAGAGGATCAAAACACAGAGAATGACACGCACAATAGAGTGTGGGTTTTTTTTTCCCACTTGGTGTGAGGCTGGCAACAAGTTTCTCTCTAGAAGCGGAAAGTTGTTGTTGTTACTAATGTTGTTGTATTTGCATCCTGCTTCACTCTCCTAACGAAACAGTATGCGTCCTCAGGCCCCATCTGCACTGACCATAGAATGCAGCTCAATCTGCATTAGTAGTGAACATGAGACCACAGAGTTGGTGCATGGAGTTAGTTTCACTTAATTCGGATTAGGTAAAGTAAGTCCAGTCATGTCTGACTCTGGGGTGTGGTGCTCATCTCCATTTCTAAGCCGAAGAGTCGGCATTGTCCATAGACACCTCCAAGGTCATGTGGCCGGCATGACTGCATGGAGCGCCGTTACCTTCCCGCCGGAGCGGTACCTATTGATCTACTCACATTTGCATGTTTTCAAACTGCTAGGTTGGCAGAAGCTAGGGCTGACAGCGGAAGTCATGCCGCTCCCCGAAATCGAACCTGCGACCAGGCCCGTAGCCAGGATTTTGATTTGGAGGGGGGGCAGTTTGTTTCAGGGGGGCGGGCTGAGTCTGAGTGAAAGAGGGTCTACCCTAGCAAACCTTTTGTATCGTTACCCCAATGTTGTTGTTCATTCATTCAGTCGTCTCCGACTCTTCGTGACCTCACGGACCAGCCCACGCCAGAGCTCCCTGTCGGCCGTCACCACCCCCAGCTCCTTCAAGGTCAGTCCAGTCACTTCAAGGATGCCATCCATCCATCTTGCCCTTGGTCGGCCCCTCTTCCTTTTTCCTTCCACTTTCCCCAGCATAATTGTCTTCTCTAGGCTTTGCTGTCTCCTCATGATGTGGCCAAAGTACTTCAACTTTGTCTCTAGTATCCTTTCCTCCAATGAGCAGTCGGGCTTTATTTCCTGGAGGATGGACTGGTTGGATCTTCTCGCAGTCCAAGGCACTCTCAGAACTTTCCTCCAACACCACAGTTCAAAAGCATCTATCTTCCTTCGCTCAGCCTTCCCTAAGGTCCAGCTCTCACATCGGTAGGTTACTACAGGGAATACCATGGCTTTGACTAGGCGGATCTTTGTTGCCATATTAAGTCCAGTCGTGTCCAACTCTGGGGTGTGGTGCTCATCTCCATTTCTAAGCCAAAGAGCGAAGAGCCAGCGTTGTCCGTAGACACCTCCAAGGTCATGTGGCCGGCATGACTGCATGGAGCGCCCTTACCTTCCCTATTGATCTACTCACATTTGCATGTTTTCCAACTGCTAGGTTGGCAGAAGCTAGGGCTGACAGCGGAAGCTCACGCCGCTCCCCGGAATCGAACCTGCGACCTTTCGGTCAACAAGCTCAGCAGCTCAGCGCTTTTACCCACTGCGCCACCGGGGGCTCACCTAATTCGGATTAGTTACCCCCAATACATGGTAACCAATTGGGAGCGGGAAGGATTCATGTGCACTGTACAATTGTTTATTCATTTATTTATTATCGACATTTATATGACGGAGCCCCCGGTGGTGCAGTGGGTTAAACCCCTGTGCCGGCAGGACTGAAGACCGACAGGTCACAGGTTCAAATCCGGGGAGAGGCGGATGAGCTCCCTCTGTCAGCTCCAGCTCCCCAAGCAGGGACATGAGAGAAGCCCCACAAGGATGATAAAAACATCAAATCATCCGTGCGTCCCCTGGGCAATGTACTTGCAGATGGCCAATTCTCTCACCCAGAAGCGACTTGCAGTTTCTCAAGTCGCTCCTGACATGACAAAAAAAAAAGACATTTATATGCCGCTCTTCAATATATTATATTATATTTTATTGTTATTATTATTAGCATAGTACAATATCAGTATTAAATATTACTATATTGTACTATACCATTATATTGTAATATTATTAGTAATATTACATGTAATATAAATATATAATTATAATATATTATTAGTATTATATTGCGTTGCATTATAATATTATAAATAGAAGGTCAGCTGCTGTTCTCACCTTTTTGCCTTGTTTTTTACTCGTGTTCTATTTTGAAATGGTCATATGACTGATCAAATAAATAAATATTATTATATATTATAAATATTATATGTATATGCAATATATTATATTACATTATATAATATATGCTGTTTGAGACCTCTCAACCTCTGAGGATGCCTGCCATAGATGCAGGTGAAACGTCAGGAGAGAATGCTTCTGGAACATGGCCATACTGCCTGGAAAACACACAACAACCCACTGTTTGATACCACTTGGAATTGTCCCAGTACAGTGTTATGCGATGCTGGCTATTGAGAATGGTTTTGTGCCAAGCTTCCAAGCCAAGCTTCACATTCAAGCTAATATAACTATTTTAATACCTATTATATCAGGCATGGGCAAACTTCGGCCCAACAGGTGTTTTGGACTTCAACTCCCAGAATTCCTGGCCTTAGTAGCTGAGGTGGAAAAGGAATGGGCCCGAGGCCAGGAATTCTGGGAATTGAAGTTCAAAACACTCAGAGGGCCGAAATTTGCCCATGCCTGATATAATAGGTATCAAAATAGTTATATCACTGCATTGTTGTAGGTTTTTTGGGGTGTATGGCCATGTTCTAGAAGCATTATCTCCTGACGTTTCTCCTGCATCTGTGGCAAGCATCCTCTGAGGTTGTGAGGTCTCAAACAGCATTAATTATACAGTGCACATGCATCCTTCCCAATTGGTTACCACGTATTGAGGATAACTAATCTGAATTATGTGAAACTATCTCCATGCACCAAGTCTGTGGTCGCATCTACACAACCTCTGAGGATGCTTGCCACAGATGCAGGCGAAACATCAGGAGAGAATGCTTCTAGAACATGGCCATACAGCCTGGAAAAACCTACAACGATGCAGTGATTCCGGCCATGAAAACCTTCAACAATACATAGTTATATCAGCTTGAATGTAAAGCTTAGCTTGGAAGCTTTTATCCCTCACAGACAGAAATATCTCTCATCATGTAAGCTAAGTAGAGTCAGCTTTGGTTAGGTCTAGGATGGGAGACCACCAAGGTGAACCTGGCAAAACCACTTTGAAGAAAACCCTATGAAAGTCATAGGATCGCCATAAATTGACAGACAGTCTGAAAGTACACACACTTGATCTAGGCAGAATCAGGTGGTAGCTACGTATCAAGAAAAACACTGTATTGTCGAAGGCTTTCGTGACTGGAATCACTGGGTTGTTGTAGGTTTTTTCGGGCTATATGGCCATGGTCTAGAGGCATTCTCTCCTGACATTTCGCCTGCATCTATGGCAAGCATCCTCAGAGGTAGTGAGAAAAACACTGCCCATGTTTAGTATTAGTCATGTGTCCCTTGTTACCTATGGCTTGCAGCTATCAACTTCTCCCATTCCTCTCCTCACAGAATAACATTGCTCAAACTCTCATTGCCAAGTTCCTCTTCCTCCCGTGCCCTTCAAACTCAAAGAGTTTCCCAGTTTATCCCTTTTAATTCCAAATCCAAGACTTGGGTTCAGTTTACCCATTTTGCACCCATTTGAGTGACCTATTGCCCCATACTGATTTATTTTATTTATATTTATGTTTATTATTATCTCACTTTTATCTCTTGATCAAGACACAAAATTAAAAATAGAATTTAAATCCATTGTGTAAAAATATTAAAGTAGGATTAAACATACAAACCAATTAAAATAATTTAAATCACTTAATAACAGCTAAAATATTCATTTTTTTTTTAAAAATGTAAGTGTCCTACCTGATGACCTTGAGCCAATCCACAGTGCCATCCCACCCAGTTTGGTCTCCCTAATTTTCTGCTCCCTGTAAATTTCCCACTGGGTTTCATTTTTGCACCCTATGTGGTTATCTGTGCTGGTACCTCAGGCATGCCAGGACTACCATGTGACATATAGATTCTTCGCCAGTGTTATTTCTAAATTAAGTACTCAATGCCAAGGTTGGCATAGAGATGAGGCAAATTTCTACATCAAGAGGAAAGGAAATCAGTTTGTTGGCAGTAGCTGTAAAGCGACTCAGTGCGGAGACCGTCACAGAAATGAAAGGTCAGGGCATCTTTTGGAGAAAACTGACAGGTTGAAAGAGAACAGTCAGAAGATTTCATTTTCTAAAACCAGGGAAACTTGATGCCAGCCACTATTTACGACGTTTTATTTGCTTAGTGAAATAGTGCCACAGCTGCTTGTGGTGTAAAAACAGAATTCAGGCACTGAGACAAACTCTCCTTTAAGTGTCTGATGTGTGTGTTAAGAGATTAACAATCCACACATTTTTTTTTCAAGATAGCCATTCCAGCACTCTGTACTCAGTTGTGCGCATTGCCAGCATACTTTGGGGAGGAGAGAGTGGTAGCTCCTCCTGTGCTGTTTCTCTCTTCTCCCCTCCTCTTTTCTCTTTGCCTTGCTCTTGGCAACAGAGCCTTTGTTTTGACAGGATGACAGCCGAAGGAGTTGGGAGATGATGGCTTGTTCCTTAGGAAGCCTGTGGTTGAAAAGGAAAAAAGAAAGGGGAAAAGGATCTTATCAATCATGTGAGGTCAGATTAATCAGCAGACAGGAAATGGATCCCAGATCTCTCTCTTTCTCTAATGTTACTAAAAAAAGAACTAGCTTCTGTCAGTGAAACCAGGCACAAATGAATATACAACCAGCCCTCCACATTTGCTGGTGTTTGGAGCATAGGACTCCCATGAAAGTAAAAAAAAAAACAAACAAATAAATACTGTGAATTGCTAAATTATTTATTTATTTACTATATTTATATCCTGCCTTTCTCGACCCCAAGGGGGACTCAAGGTGG